CTAAGTTTCATCATGGTGTTTCATCCACTGAACATTTGCAGTCACGGAGCAAACCTAAAACCTTTCAAATTCATAGTCAATCACGTTAATGACAGATTTGGCTTAAGATATCTATGSTAAGAGGCAGGCATTTTCTCTTAAGTTGAAGCAAACAAAAATTTAATATTAACCTCATGAATTCCTCCTCTCTAAATTACTTTTCTAGCTTTCTAGCTGAATTTCTAGCTGATTTCTAGCTGAATGATGCTCAGCAAGAGCTGAGAAGATGTCCATCCAAACACCTTCAAGTAACAAAATAAAATTAAATGACCTAAACCTGCACGCAAATAGCATATAAAGATGTAGCTTCATCGAGAATGATTTTCATCAAGACCCATTAACTATGATTAAAGAAAAAGAAAACTGCTGGCAAGCTACATAACCCTCTACTTAAGATTCTGAGAGCGTATTTTCAAACACTGCTTTTGTAATCAGGGTGCTTGCGAGAAAGCCCCCAAGGTAACACAGCCTGTTGTGGCTATCCAGGCTGCTGGCCACGGGGCCCAGCTCACTCTGTGACCGCCCCGGGAAGCCCCCGGCACATCCTGCACCATCTCACACTGCTCACACGGCAAGAAGAAAATGCTCCTCAGGGCCTCGAGAGGCAGACTGCATTTTAACAGCATGTGTTTCGATGACAACAGGCACCTCTGCAACCTGCAGGCTGTACAAACTGATGCAGATGGGCTACCGCCAGAACTGCCTTAAAAAAAGAAAAAAGAAAAAAAAATTGAAGTGTTGCCTGTATCCTGAATGCAGGAGGTCTGAAGGAACCTSCAAAAAAAACAAGCTCAAAGGCTGATACCTCAAAGAGAAGTGGAACAGAGAATTCACCTGAAAGACAGATTTCTGTTTCCACAAAAGGCTGCTAGTGGTCTCTCCTCAGGCACACTGTATGAACATGATCCCTGTCAACGGCCCAAGCTCTTCCCATCCTTTTCCAAGTAACCACTGCCAAGGACTTTCCTTGCAAACCTACCATAATATCAAGTACCTAACACTTCCACAGGGGTGAAAGATAACATTTTGAAATCTGTATTCCACACGGGATCTCTGTGGGGAAAAYACAACCTGACTGAGTGCCTCAGAAGCTCCAGGATGGCAGAGTTTGGAGGAGTAGGAAAAGACGCAGAACTTTTTTTCTGCTAAGGGCAAGGAGCAGAAAGAAAGGTCAAGCAGGGCCTGGAGGGGCAGGGCCCGTGTTCACCGACACAACAGACGGGCGCTTGCAGAGMAGGTGCCACTGGCAACATCGGCCTTCACCAGCGACAGGAGTTCTCAGAAGGGTGAACGGTTGGTTCTTCTTTCTGACCCCAATGATCGTGCTACTGTCCGACCATAAATTCTGTACCAGCCCATCGAGGCAGGAACGTCCTCCACAAAGATTCACCAACTTCAAGTGGCAAAAAACTCGGCAAGACCCCCCTGSCCCTCGTAGCCTATGAGCCAGAAGGACAACGGAAGGTTTCCAGAGAGAGGTGGGAAACCAACACGGGATGTAGCCGAGTAATTCCGTATGGGGGAACGGCCACAGCAGGCAGAATGGGCACATCCCAGGCATTAGGCTGCATTCTGCTTGCTCTTCCAAAGGCCTATGCAAGGAGTAACATAGCCCTTCGCAAAGGGCTTGCAGGGAAGCATTCATCCATCATGCTGCAGGACAGGAATTTGGCTCTCCGAAAACTGAGGAACGGCTCTTGACAGCGCAGGTGAGAATTCTTCTAGTTCCAAATCTCGGGTTACAGGAAAAATCAGATTAGAATAGGATCTGAAGCACGAATATCCCTGGAATGGCTGAGTGACGAAAAAGAGAGTAGGGAGATAGAGCAGGAACCTAGTATTGCTGTTTAAAACAGAGGAGAAGAGTAAAAAAGTGAAAAAGGGGAAACAGCTGAATGGCTTCGGCTGCCTTGCCCCAGTGTGACAGCTAAACTCTTTCCTGGCTGAATCTAGATCACCACCGGCTGGATACAAGCCCCGAGGTGAATGTAGTTAATTTAGTCTTAATCCTGTGGGCAAAGCAAACACTGGAGGACTCGGCACTGCCTAGAGGGGAATGGCTGCGGGAGCCAAGCCCCGCACCAGCTGCAGTGACCCCAGTCGGGCAGGCGGCAGGAGAAGGGCAGAGCAGACAACAGCTCTGCACAGCCCGCAGCGCAGCAGTACAGTAGGATTATGTTTCATTCCTTTCCATTCTGTGGCAATAGTTTGGGCTGCTTATTGGCTCCCAGGCTGGAGGGTCCCATCAAGGCCAGACCAGAACTGCCCCATCTGCCCAGGATGCAGCTGCACAGCTCTGAGAAGCCCCCATTCACAGCAGCGAAGCCCTGAAGCTCCACGGACCTCACGTGGCTGAGGGGGCCTCTGTGTGCAGTGCCAYGCACACAGGTGGCACAGGACAGGGGGATGCAGCGTTCAGAGTGGCTTCTTGGAAGAGGACTGGGAATTACACCCAAAAACATTCACAGTAAGCCAGAAAGCTTGTAGCCAAAGAGTATCACTGCACTCACAGGGAAACACGCCGATCACACCGTGCTGCTCTTCCATCAGGCTGCGGGGCAAGCACCTTCTCTGGCAACGTGTGGGCACTGCAGCGATGAGAGCCAGAGCASAACAGGACCAGGGCTACGGTGGAGCCCAGAGCAGAGGGGCAGCCCTCACCATCACCCCACCAGGCTTCTGCAAAGCCCTAACCAGGAAGTAGATGCCAACCCACAGGGCGTGCAACACCCTGTATTCACCTGGCAGCTTGCTGAGGCTAACTTAAAGGGAAAAGAAAGTTACATAATTATATGCCCAATTATATAATTACAATAATTAGATATATAGAACAGGTAATTCTCCTGTGCACAGTTGAAATAGCAATGAAAAGCACTTGCTTTCATTCCTGAAGTTTTACTATGTTTAAAAATCACTGCAGAGGCAGGAGAGAGATGCAGCCTTTCCTCAGCACCCAGCAACACCAGCCTTCCTCAGGCAGCCAGCCAGGGCTCCCGTCCCCAACGACCTGCGCTTGTTGAAGCTTCCGGATGCGGAGTTTGAATGAGTCCAAGTGAGGACAAACCAAAAAGAAGCATGAGAAAGAGGAAGATTCTCCCAGAACAATCAAGAACAAGTGATGAAGAACATGTAATGCCTTTTGGGAATGGACCTCTGTACCCACTGATGTTACACGTCAGTTTTACACAGCAGAGCTTTTACTCTGCTAGCTGTAGCCTTCACTACATTAACTTGTTATAAGATTATAGCTGTTAGAGCTTTAAAAAGTACTGTGTTAGTGATGAACATCTAAATGAAAATACCTGCAACGAGAAGAAAACACTTTAACATGGCAAAAATTAGCAAGGTCAGAGCTACCGTCCTCAAATACTTGGCCTTAAGTTTTAGCATGAAGTGACCTCAAAAGCCTTGTCTTTATTGCATGGGTTTAAGTTCCTGAATTTCAGAGAAGTCTGTACAGGTTGGTCAGGCTGAAGCAAAAGCATTTTTTATAATTCATTTAAAAAGCAAGAGGATTTGTAGGAATGCAGGGGGGAAGGAGGAAATCAAGGACTCTTCTAGGTATTTCTTTAATGTAAATATACATAGAGTTGTTTTGAAAACCCAGATGGAATTCTAACTTATAAAGACATTCACATTAGGTGATATTTAAAATATTATAAAAAGGAAAGAAAAAAATCAGGCAGAAGTAGAATTTTTTTTTTCCCCCCTGGAAACAAGTCTTTCAAAAAGTATAATCTTTGTCTAAAAATTCCATAAGAATAAAATATGACTTTTTGGTCAATTTTAACCCATTAATCTATATCCTCTCACTTCATGAATGTAGGCTCTTTATTGGCTTTGCACTTCTATATCATAAAAGAAAAAAACCTTTGAACGCAGCAGGAGAACTAAGGGAGCAAAGTGCTCCCTCCACTAGCAACTTTCGCTAACTAAAACGTAGCCAAAAACCCTCCATGGCTCCTAAAGGATTCCAAACTTAATGTTCTCTCTTCCTCCCCTACTCTGTAATTTCACTATGTGACTGCCAACATTGCTGTAAACTCAATTTATACTACACTACTATTAATACAAAAAATCACCTAGGGGAAAAAAACACAGAAAAAAATGTACAATGAGTAAATCCTGATGTAAGACTGAAGCAATTACTTTGACTGTACAAAGATGCACCAACAGTAACACAACATGTTACCAGGAAGACTTTCTAAGTGCACATTAGTCAGAGTATGGAGCTACCTGAGCTCCTTTTTTAACTTCTCTATTTAGGCTCAAGAGAAAAAACAGAATTACTTCTTTATCCAGAGCAGAAACCGCTAACGCTTAATAACCAAGTGCATTATTTACTGCTGCAAGGGGACAGGGCCTTGGTTTTTAGTACCTCTCCTGACTGCAGTTACCAAATACAGTAAAACTAAACTTGAGTTACCACAACTTCCTAAAATTGGGAACTCCATTTTATCTCTATGGTTTTATATAACAGGTGCTCATCACCTAAGAAAACACGGAGCTCCTTATCCAGAGGTGCCATCAGCTATTTCCTCGTTAGCAACTTCCACAATCACAACAGAAGCGAAGCCAAGCAACCACGTGGATGCCAGAACTTCAAGTCTTAGCCTGAACTTCAACAGTGACGACCATGGCTAAAGTGGTCATAATTTTCAGTCAACAATATCCGATCAAAAAAAAAAACCCCTTTAAATTACAGTTTCTCCAATAAATGCTAATCACAGATAACAAAACAAAATATATATCTTTGGAAAGTAGGTGCCAATCAACTATAAAACAACTATTTTATTGCAGAGATTCCTTTCAAGCAAGCAAATATACTGCAACAACTTTATTAAATCTCTCAGCAATAAAAATAAAAGATTTGCTTAATCCCATAAAAGACTTGAAATTGGTGGATAACATTCAAAAAAAAAAAAGGCATAGAATAAAATACTAGTATGTACATACATTACCTTAGCATTCTCAAGCAGAGTCTCATCTCTGCCTAAGCCAGGTCCTATGACAACTGAGTGCAGTCGTGGTAGCCATTTTTCCACCTCATGGACAGCATTGGGACTATCACTAAATAGGATTAAAGAAATAAAAATAAATAAATAAAGATAAGTTCAAAACAAAGTTCCAGGTCAAAACCAGAAAGAGATATCAGATTTTCAGTGTCAAGCGACTTTATCTTCCAAATTACCAAAAATTTGTAGTCTTGGAAATATGAAATGTTTGTCCAAAGAGTTAAACTGCAACAGTCCTTAGCAGAAACCACATGAAAGCGGGGAAATATTTACAAGCATCTGCTACGGCTGTTACTAACCCAACACACACAAACAAGCAAGCCCGAAACCAGCAACTGCTCCAACCCCACACAGTTCTCYGAGGGCTCTCACTGCAGAGATGACAGGTTTCCTAGAAAAAGATCCACCGCCTCTCAGGCATGAGCTGCAGTTTGCTGAAATGATGCAATATTTACTGCTCCACAGGGTGAAATGACGGATCTCCTCACATACGTTGTCACTTGCTTCATCAGCATTTGTTGTGACTGAATTACAGCCAAATTGTCCCCATTCCCCCAAGGGCACTGGGGGAATCAAGCTACTCAGCAAGGGTATCTGCCGGTTGCAATGCTTAACCTTTCCATAGCAGTTACGCTTTGTCCGCATCGAGACAAATGCCCAGAAGATTCGCGGCCAAAAACGACTGCTCCAATACAGTGTCCAGCAGCTGATCCCAACGGTTTGTTTAGTTCCGACTGGTGCTGTTGTCTAARTAAGTTGGAATATTTGTTACTACAACGTTACTAAATCCCTACTGGCAGCACGGACAGCAGGTTTAGTTGGGTCCCCTCCCCGACACAGTCGTTGGTAATAGCTGAACATTTAAATAAAGTCTGGGAGGGAATGAGCCCCCCCAATCCCCGAGCAAAGCAGCACCGTACAGCGCTATTACTCCTCCAACAAAGCTTTGTTATTCCGGGGAAAAGCCCCCGGGGGCTTTTCATAAGCAGCAGCTGTAAGGCTGGGCCACGGTAGCGAGGCGCTTGGCTCTGGCAGGATCAGCGAATTCCACTGGGATTCCTGGGAGTGGGAGGCCGGCGCGGGAGCGTTTGCAGCTGCCCCGCGCGGGACTGCGGCACCGGCAGCGCCCGCGGCTCAGACCAGGATGAGGCTCCGCTCGAGCAGCGGGATCCCCGCCTGCTCCACAGGGCCTCCGAGCCGGAGCGAAGCGGCAGCGTCCCGGGAGGCGCCGCTTCGCGCTCCCCTTCCCCTCCGCAGCCGCCCGCGGCTCCTTCGGGACGTAGATACGGGCGGGCAACRAGAATGTTTCAAGAAATATCGAAAGCACCATTAAAATCTAGTAGGTTAAGCATGTGAAAAATGCCCATGAGAAAAAAAATCTCCTGAAATACACCCGATTCTGAACGCCACTGACATTCGTGTTGACGCATTGAAACGGATTCTAGCTGGAGAACAGGACCGACGACCTACGGCGGCTTTCGGCAGCAGGAGCCAAACACGCTAAATAAGTGAGTGCTACTTTAAACACAAGCCAAGAGCAGAGCCAAGCCAGGACTGTAATTTTCTCCGGAGTTTTTCAAATAGCTCATGAAAATAATCTCGGAGCCGGAAGCTTATTAATTTATTTATATTCAAACCTGAGATAAGGTAATTTTGTCCCCAGCCCAATCGGTAACAGGCACTCCTCAAAACAGAGCCACCTCTGGGAAACGAGGGGCCCAACGTGCAGTCGCTCCTGCTCCCTCTGCCTCTGGTGACACTGAAAGCCTAGAGGGAGCTTCTCGTCCTCAAAGCGTTGTCCCAGCACGATGGTTCACACGACTCACAGCATCACAGGATGGCTGAGGTTGGAGGGCCTCTAGAGACCATCTAGACCAACCGCCCTGCTCCAGCAGGGACACCTACAGCACGTGGCTCCTTCACAATTTCACATCAGGAAGCGACCCAARGCACACAAAGGAACAAGAGATTTAGAAACACAATTAGACTGCAAAATCAGCGCTAAAACCAAGCTGAAAAATAACTGATGGGAGTTTCATCTTTTATAAGGCAGAAATAAGTGCTAKGTCAGAGCAGCATGAGGGCAGCCCGCCTCTGGGAGGCCTGCCGTGCAGCACAGYGGGGTGCTGCAGACCAGGGCGCTCCCCTGTCCCCGCCGCTGCTCCCAACGCGGAACGGGTATCACGGTTTCAGGCACTGACATTAATCAGCAGTATTTTTAAGCTGATAAAGTAAAAATGACCAATATGTAACCTTCTTCAGGAAAACAAATGGGTATGACCTTGAAGGGCTCTGACCATGACACAGAGTGAAAGACAGGAYCTTTTCTGGCTCTTCATATTCATAGCTACGAAAATAACGTGAACACATCCAGAATATTCTCGGCTCAGACTATTCTCTGAACTGCTACATTTTAATCTTGCTTCCACTGCTAAATACATGCCTGCCATCAAAACTATCACTATAGTTTCTTACAGTACTGTAAGAAAGTACTTAGAGAGAGGTATGAAATATGAAGACGACACTCCCTTAATCAGAAGAGATGCAGCGTTCAGCTTGCGATGGAAAGCAGGATCAAGGAAGCCAGAATGATTCCTGTCTCTACAGATGCAGTGCCATGCAATAAGCAACACRGCTTCTTTTCCAAAAGGGAAATCTCCAACGCGAGATCCCTACATCTCAAGAGCAAAGCTAATATTAAAGAGGAGTCACAGAGTTCTTGCAAGGTCAAGAGAAAAAAAAAATCCACTTCTGAAGAGAGAAGTGGATTGATTAAATAAAGATCAGGAATTTCCCAAAGCAAAGGCAAGATTTTTTTTGAAGGGGCTGAGGCCAGAGATGGGAAAACRTCTACCTACTGTGAAAAGAGAAACTCTGCACCACGAACACGTACAATRGGAATAATTCGGGAAGCTGCATCCAAGCAGCAGCGCTTTGTAAACTGGAGAGCGGACTGCAGGACCATTGTGCAAACGTGGACAATAAGAGATGCTGGTGACGAACCGCAGTGGCAGATTTGCAGGCAACGAGCAGATGTGCAAAGATCTGCTTAACTCCCAGCTAAGCACTGAGATCTGTCATGGGAAAAAAAAACATATGCAGATAGAAGATTGCAAGAAAGCAGAATCATTTATAAAGAGGAACGAAGGAGTTTGCACAACCCTTCGCATTCCTGTGAAGCCTGCTGGAAAAGGCGGAGTCCACAGATAATGCCAAGTATCAGAAAGCTGATCTCCCCCGAAACAGATGAACGACAGTGATCCAGCTAGGCAAGCCAGAGGCAGAGCAGCTCCTGGGGGTCACATCGTCACACAGGACCCCACAGATGTTCACCCACCTTCCTCGGCCGTTGGTGAGGGGCAGGGGGAGCTACGAAGCTCTACTGGRCAGAGTGAACTTCTGGGGAAGCCAGGCCCAAGGGCTTCATCTTCTTCCCGAGCCTCCTGTGCACAAGGGGTGCAGCGTGTTACACACTGATCTTTCTGCCCTCTTCTCCGCCTCCTAATGTATTTTAAGAAGTATTTTTCAATCCTAACTTCAATCCTAAAAGGATAGAGACTTCTTGCAAACCGAACAGCACTTACTGCCTGAAACAGTTAGGAGAAACCTGCCCAAATTCTTGGAGACTTTACCAAGCTGGTACACTCTGAAGCCATCAAGGCAATTGCTTTCAATTACAATAGAAAGCTTGGTGAAATTTTGCATGGAAACAAAGAATCGCAGAGCGGAATTAGCAAGGGAAGAACCAGGAGCTGTATAAAGGGCAGATAACCAGCCAGGGACAGCAGCAAAGGCAGCAGGCAGCAGGATGGCAGCTTTTCATGTTTATTTTAGGCGGACTCATAACTAACCTCATGGAGAGATTTGATGTGGACTTCGAAAATAACGATCAGTGGGACCTCCTGCCACGAAGGGAAACTGGAAGCACAAACAAGGCTGCTCCCCTGATCGATCATTAATTCCCAAAACTGGAATCGTTTTCTAGTCTAGAATAGTTTAGGGATTGTAATTCCCCAAACTAGAGAACATATTTTTCAAATTCTGCTCATTATTAGTGTACTCATCAGCGTACTCATCAGGAATGAGTAAGGCAACTCTAAATGCAGTAAAATGTATCACTGCTCAGGTTTGTTATGTRAACTGAGACAAAGCAATTTTAAGTGGGCAGTTGCAAAACTCAACCTAGAGTCTTATCTTCAAAGTTAGGGAAAAGCCTCTGATCTGAGAATGAAAGAGTCTTGGTTTTGTTTGCCCAGGCGCTGCAGGAATTATATTCCTGTGAATCAAACGTTAAGACCTGCTGACATTTAGATCCTCTCACATTATATAGTACATCAAAAGAGCAAAGGAGAGCACATATTGTGTACTCCTAGAATTTAATTAGCTATCTCAGAAAGCTAATTATTAACTATTGTGGTAAACCTTGGCTGAGGTCACTACTGGAAACCCAGTAAATAAGACAGGGAGAGAGATTATCATGGACAGGTTAGGCCAAAGGAATTAAGGACAAAATAATGCAAAAATAGATAATGCAAAAAATGCAAGTAATGCAAAAAATGCAAGTAATGTAAAAAATAATGAAAAAAATGCAAAAAAGTTTGAATATTAGGTTAAAATTATAACAACATATATGTACATATATTATATATATATAAAAACAATATACACACATACATATATATATGGGGAAAGCTATATTCATCAAATGTGTACATCATCCTTCTCGTCAATAAGCTCCCAATTTCCAGAAGCTCAGAGTCTTGAGAAAGCAGCACCTTTCAGCCTCACGAACAGGACTGGAAATCATTAGACTTACTMTAGCAATCTCCTGGATCCCACTATCAACTCAGAGGTCTCTGACCGAGCACGTCAGACAGATCAAATCGCACTGACCACAGTGACATCCAGTCTCTTGGATACTTTCAGTGATCTGAGAGAGACACTTGGTGAATTAAGATTAGTGTGTTAAAAAACAAGAAAAAGAAAGCACAGAAGGCAAAGTGGGTATTGCCTTCATTGAAATCTATGGTGTTGCTGAATGATCCTTATATAGAG